GGGGGTGCAATTAATGTGCCATTCAGCTGCAGCGGGCGACTCGCGCCCTGTGCCCGCTTTATGTCTGCTGGGGGTCTCTCTCACCCCTTTGTTCCCCCCCCCCACGAGGCCCCATCGCCCCCCCCACGAGGCCCCATCGCCGCTGGATTCAGGGTGGGACGCGTCCCTGAGGGTGGGGCATTTCCCGGGGCAGAAGCCAGCACCTTTCTGTAATAATCACGTGTCTTGGCCCCCATGTGACTCCTGTTGTCCTCGTCTAGTCACATGACTTGGCACTGTGCCCCCCCTCATGACCCTGGTATGATGGTGCTGGCTAGCCCTTGGTCCCCCCCCCCACCCCCCACAGCTCACAGTGGTCACGAGCTTCCCGCTCCCCTCCTGGTACAGCAACGTCTCCGCCACAATTGGACCTTTCTCTTCTTATTTTTATAATATGTGGCACCCCCCCATTTAAAACACTAATGCCCCTTTACCTCCTTTACATCCCCCCCACAAACCCAGTCTTGCACACTCAAAGGCTGGTCTGTTGTCTCTTGTTACCAAACTGGTCTGTAGGGGGCAGTGTCCTCTCACAATCTTCACTTGTCTCCAAGCTCAGCTTCACTAGGATGCTCCGGGAGAGCAGGGCCTGATGGGTAATCTGTGTGCTCGGGTGCTCACCCTTCACCTGGTAAAATACGCCCCCCTGTTCCATGTGGGTGCTGTGCCCCATGAGGACTGAGAAGGTGTCTGTAGGATTATCAATTGGTGGCTCAGTGTAAAGGCGTGTTCAGTGTGGTCTAAAGCTGCGTTCAGTGTAAATCTGCGTCAGTCTGCATTTCCAGCCTAAATCCCAGATGCTTTGTGTGTTATGGGTAGGACACATAGCTTTGAGTTGAAGCAGCAAGGGAATCAGATCTTGGCAGAATGGTGCCACCCTCCATTGCACTGGATGAACAGGACAGGCGTCTGGCCAGCCTTGAACACCAGGTTACACTGACGGGGGGTAATTCTGCTTATCCTCACTCCTCCAGGATAAGGATTTGAATCCTGATCAAGAGGAGGGCTGTTAGTGATCCATACCCATCCCAAGATCAGTGCCCCTCCCGTGATCTGTGCCCGTCGGTTATTACTGCCCCTCCCTCAGTTAGTAGTCCTTAGTGATCAGGACCCATTTCAATTATACGTGGGCCTCTCTGACCATTAGGGTACTACTGCCCATGATTGTTGATCGTTAGTGATCAGTGTCCCTCCTGTAATCAGTGCCCCTCGGTGATCACTGATCCTTAGTGTCCTTCCCGTGATCAGTGTCCCTCAGTGATTAGTGTCCTTGGTGATCAGTGGCCCTCCCCAGATTAGTCTTCCTTAGTGACTTGTCTCCTCAGTGCCTCTCCCATGATCAGTGGCCCTCAGTGATTAGTGTTCTTTAGTGATCAGTGCCCCTTTGGTGATTAAGATTCAAGATTCAAAGTGCTTATTGTCATATGTACAGTAGAGAAGTGCATTTCTCTGTGCAATGAAATTCTTACTTTGCTGTCCACACAAAAATGCCAAGGTACAATATAATGGAAAAAAAATAGAAAATAAAAACTTTTGAGCGTAATGTGCAAAAGAGCATAATGTGCAAAAATGACAGTATGAGGTAGTATGGTAGTATGGTATGGTAGTATGCTAGTATGATATCCATTAATCATACTCCTGTCGGCTGTTTAGGCAGTGGGGAAAAAGGAGTTAAGTCGGGAGGTTCTAGATTTCACACTTCTGTACCTCCGTCCTGAGGGCAGAAGTGTGAACAGTCCGTGTTGGGGGTGTGTGGGGTCTTTGAGGAAGGAAGCAGCACTCCTCTGGACTCTGCGGTGGTAGTTTCTCTGTAAAGAGGGCAGCGGAGTCCTGATGATCTTCTCCGCAGTCTTCACCACTCTCTGCAGGCGTTTGCAGTCCATAGCTGTAGTGCTACCAGACCACGCTGTGATGCAGCTGGTCAGTGTGCTCTCCACGATGCAGCTGTAGAAGTTGCTGAGGATCTTTGTTGACATGCCAAACTTCCTCAGCCTCCTCAGGAAGTACAGCCGCTGTTGAGCCTTCTTGACCAGCTGTGTGGTGTTCAGTGTCCAGGTGAGGTCCTCACTGATGTGGACGCCCAGGTACTTAAAGCTGCTCACGTTCTCCACTTCAAGCTCCCAGATGAACAGTGGCTGATGAGGCCTCTTCCTCTTCCTCATGTCCACTATCATCTCCTTTGTCTTGTCTGTGTTGAGGGTGAGGTTGTTGTCCTCAAACCATGACACCAGACCGGCCACCTCTCTCCTGTAGGCTGCTTCGTCCCCTCCAGTGATGCGACCGATCACTGCGGTGTCATCCACGAACTTCTGGATGATGTCGTCTTTGTGGGCGGCGACACAGTCGTGAGTGAACAGGGTGTAGAGGATGGGGCTGAGGACACAACCCTGTGGGATGCCAGTGTTTGTGGTGATGCTGGCTGAAGTCCTGTCAAGGTCTGCCAGTCAAAAAGTCCAGGAACCAATCACAGTGCAGGCCGAGTGTGGTCAGTCCGTGCTCCTTAGTGTCATCCCTGTGTGTGCTCTGTGTTGGTTGCTGCCCCCCTTCCTCAGCGGATCTGGCCTGGGGAGTTTATTACTTTTGGAGATATGGGGCTTCATGGCATCAGGGGTGGGGCAGACAGACG